TTCTTTCTGTACATCATCTCCTCCGTCGATTAAAGGCAGGCAACGCATATGCAATTGCGCATATCTATGGGCAACGGTCACTTCGCTACTTCAGCGATTTCAGGTGACCGCTCGCTCGTTTGCCACCTTATGATATAAAAAAAAATGTAAGAGCTATCATACAAGGACTTAAGTATATGAAGCGATTATCAACACCAATGGCCATACACGAACCGCAGTTTGCAGTTGCTATACATCAAATGCTTGGTGCTGTCCATGTATTATGGACTTTAAATACAATCGCTGATACATTGTATTGTAGATCAGATTAAAATGGCTGCCAATTAAATAGAGAAAGAGAAAATTAAGAAAATTATCTTTACGATATTAAAATAATAAGGATCATTTCTAATTGGTTTATAGCACACGACTTTGATGTTCATTTATTTATCGAAGTCAAGAAGATGCTTGAACTAAAGTATGGAAATTTCTCTTTCGTCGTCTCGACAATGGACGGGGGAAATATAGGTCGATGACTTTATTGAGCAGTTAACGACTTAACTTGTTATTGATTTAAATTTTGATTTGTTGTGTGTCAAGATTAGTTATCTAAAGAGGGAAAATGTTAACTTCAAATCTAATCCTACTACTATCTATCCTACCGTTGGTTTCTGAGACAAAAATCTTTGTATAAAACATATCGACAACTCTGTCATTATCTTAAACTGGGATTTTCATCTCAAAAATCCACCATAAGTTGTAACAAATGTTAGTACCTATTGTACCTTTGCATATTTTCAAAGTCAGTGTAAAATTATTTTTCTCCTAGTAACAGCTTACGTAAGTTCAAGGCGCCTAAGCTTAGGTTCAAATTAAATATACCGTGTGACATGCGATCCTATGGCTTCATATAAAGCCTAGCCCTAATACCGTTGTCAAGGGCGTGTATTTATGTATGTTTGCATGACCACCGTTCGTGGATTTACGTCATAGATAGTGGTAATTTCAATATAATTAATACAACGTCTAATAGATTTGATTGATCACACGCTAAAGCGAATGGTACGTAATTTATTACATTTATTCGTTAACTCTATACTAGTTTTCATTTTTTTTCTTGTAGACATCTTTAGAAAAAATCTGGTTTTGATGAAACAGCGAGGGTGCTACATTTCTTCTTTAACTTGTAATCTATAATGTTAAGTTCCGCCTTTACCGTGCCGGCATGTATTGCCGTTAATACAATATATGTCAACGGTAAATCACCAAGAAAACATTTTAATGACTCAATCAAACCATGTTGAACAATCTCTATATGAACACGAATATTATGAAAAATGCTTACATTGTATGTTTGTATTCAATTATAATACAAGATTCAAACTTTGTTATGCCTCATGGTTAACTATTATGGGTCCCAAGACTACTGCGGCATTATCTCTTTATGTCCCGAGAACTAAAATTGTGTTCTTCGCAACAACTCGTGCGATATGAAGTTTGAATAGCGCTATACTCGTATGTTTGTTGTTTGCATGTCGTTTACGGTACACACTTATCGTGGAGTATCAAAGCATTTCTCTGGCAGTGTAATGGCATGTGACGTGTTGTTGACGCGGTTCAATGACCTTTGGCAAATGTAGCAATGATATTGAAAGTTTATTTTATTTTAGGAAGGTGTAAGACGTGCAAATAGAATAAGATAACACCACATCGGTGTTCAAATTTGCGAATGCCGTTTGGCTTGCGGAATGTAACCGTGGTATTTCATTCGACACTCGTACAAAGATAATCAATGTTCTTATTCTAATAATTGATATGTTTTGCCAGTGAAAACTAACTGTTACTTTACGTGAGTTTTAATTCGTCAATCAGTTACATGTTCACGACGTACGCACAAGTGTGTAGTCACTGAGAGCGCTAATAAATATAAAAAATTCTAAGACTACCTACTGTATAGCTTAAACATTTTTTGCCCATCATATAAATTAAGTCGCTATACAGAAAAAATATGATTAGTGCCTTTGTAATATGAAATTATTGTTCTTAATATTCAGACTATCATGTGAGGTCATGCTGTGTGTAATTTAAAATTCAATTGTTACGCATAATAGCAAGCCTACATACACGTATGAGAATATTTGATTCTATTGTCATGTTCGCTTTACATATGGGTGTTACGACAAATAATTGTTCTGTAGTTGTATTTATTTTACAAGCGAACAAAATCGTCCCATATCTTAGTTGAACATGAACAATGTTTCTGGTAACTTGAACACGAACAATGAAACATCATCCTGTAAATATTTATTTATTAACTCTTAATGTATATAATTAACTCATAATACATAAAAAAATACAATTAATTAACAACAAAGCAAGGGCGGCCTTATCGCTACAAGCGATCTCTTCCAGGCAACCCAGTGGGACAGGAGAGAGTAACATAGAAAGAGGGTTATATAACATATCAAGATGAGTGGGGAATAAATAAATAAGAGCAAGAATTAATTATAATACATATATATACTAGTAAATAATTCTATCTCAATTCACCAAAGACATTTAAAAAAAGAATTGAATGGATTGTGGTTTCAAATCCGCATCTTGCTGTTTGCAATTAGTATTCCTACTGTTCATTGTTTAGATGCTGTTGTGATGAATGAGTTGTTTCGTCGAGTCATTCACCATTCAGTGGTTCGAATCAACTTGTTTGTGTTGTTTTGAAGTATTAAAAGCGATTCTGAACGCTTTCTACGTTTTTCTTTTGTTTTTTTTTTCAATCGATGATACGCTATTTATCGTGTTGGATAAACATATCTTTTGTTGAATTATGAGCAGTAAAAGTGTACAGATTTTTTTAATAATAATAATAAAAATATTTGCATACCCAGTAGAAATATAATGGAGTAAATATAAAATGTTATTTAGAATAGCTAATTCTTAATGTCCAGTCCAGTCTACTGGATTCTTGGATAGACTCTACTTAAATTGAATTCTGAATGTAATTTACCCCAAGTGTTGCAATTTTTTTACCATTTAGCCGGAATTTTACCCTGCTGGTAGTATGTCAAAAAATCAGATCACTTGTCATGATCATCATCATCAATTGTCTCAAATTATTGTTACTCTCATTTCAGTCAACAATACACACAGATTATAATACTTTTTTGTACTACTTTTTTTTTATAATTTTAGTTCATGCGTGTCCAATGGATTCGTGTAGCAATGACAATGTATTTTTTTGTGTTGTAATGTTGGCAAGGTCTCAGCCATTGTCTCGCGGTGTATTAGTACTGAAATATATTTTTATACACAATTCTAGACCGTATAGGTTTTGTAGATAGCAAAAGACCTAGTTGACCTACATCGCGTTAGAAACTTTTTTAATATTCCATACTGGCTTTAGAAACAGCATTTAAATATGGAGAGTTAATAAGTTTCAAAAATAAAAAAGCAAATGACTTTTTCTTATAAGGTTAAGACTAAGTAAATCATATACACTAAATATTTGTAATTATAGTATGTACGCGTGTAAATAAGCTTTAAATCGGCTCAAAAGATCGGGTCGCATATACTTGAACGATTGAGCTGCGGCTCAACAACTAATTGGCAGCTCACGGCTCACTGCGATGATAACTATGCGATCAAAAAAGCCAACTATCCAGTCTCAGAATTACCAATCATAACTCTATGCAGGTACAAACTGAGTTGAACAGCGATCCGGGTCACTGATCTGCTCACACATGCGACCTGTGAACTGATCTGGAGGTCATCATTTTTAGTGTAATTGATTACATAAAATAATCGACAATTTAAAAATATAAATTAGTAAATGAATTTATAATACTAAAATTAATTAAGACGCTATATTTAGTGTTAATTGTACGTAATTTTACTGTCATGATTTTTAATTTATGGTTTTATAGCTTACTAATTTTAAATACCAACATAATAAAACTGCGTATTTTACTTCCACGTGTGGTTATAATTAGGTTCGATAATGTTACGTTTGGCGACTATTTCTTTAGTGAATACATCGAATGATTTAAGAATGTCATAGAGAGACCTTTATTATTTTTATGAATAGAAATTAGTTGGCATGAAGTAATAATTTGGTATTTTACTGTTATCTGTGCTACATGATTTTTGGCATGGATTATAATCTATAATAAGTATTATATTTAATTAATAGACATCGTTACGTTTCTTTTAGTTTTTGTTTTTTTTTTAAGTTATAAAAAATTTAATTTACAAAATAAATTATATTTTTATAATAACTTCCTTATAACATTTATAAAGATATTAAAAATAATGCGCTTAAAAGTATGTGAACTAGAGTGGAAAAATATGCATATTTCGAAAAGCACCTTGATTATTAAAAGAAAATTAAATATGTAAAAAGGCGATGTTACCGTTGGTTACTACGGAAGTTAAATAAAAAATAATTTTCTTAAAAAAAAAACATTATTTTGTTTGAATATATGTAGTGGTTACCCACGCTTAAATGTCCGATTTTGGCACTGCCAGCACATTTTTTGTGGCTTTTTCTTTAATTTTTAGTAGCAAATGCAATTCTTAAATACGTAATATGTTTGGTTATTTGCCAAAATTAGTTGCTTGCATTTAGAATTCTATCTTTCCAGACGAGAGAATACAAAATCAATCTAAAATAAACACGAACACAATGTGCATAAACAATATTAAACTACGTTATAAATTATTTATTACCTATTTTAATTAATAATAAAGTCTAATGGGTATATTTATACTAATAGTAATTAAAATAAATAAATTAATTTAATTTCAAATTAAAAAAAAAATTGTTGTCCAGAATAATTTCCATTATTATATACAAGAATGTAGTTCTAAGTTTTTTTTTATAAGAGAGCATTTTATATTAAAATATTGCAAGCAATTATTATGTATTATTTTGTATTCTCTTAATTTTATATTCATACGTCCATATCCATTCATACAAATCCATCAAAACTAAGTAACCAATAGAATAATTTTGCAAATTTCAGAATTGATTAACTACACGCAACCTGTGTACGTTTGGCGAGATGACCCAAACTCCAGACAAAACACAATCAAGGAGATCATCGAGAGAGCCACATCTAAGGAGGATTGGCCACAGGTATGACACAATAATGACACACTGAGCGCCGGTGGCTCAGTGGTCAAGTACTTGGCTTGCAATCTGCAGGTCCTGGGTTCGAATCCCGCCATGTACCAATATATTTTTCGATTTTCGATTTACATATGTACATTTATCCGACGTTCTTACGGTGAAGGAAAACATCGTGATGCAACCTGCACATGTCTGAGAAGAAATTCAAAGATATGTGTGAAGCCAACCAACCCGCACTTGGCCAGCGTGGTTGACTATGGCCTAATCACCCTTAACTTAGGGTAGGCTCCGAACCCCTCGGTGAGGACGAATAGTGAGCTGATGATGATGATGATGACACGATAAACGTTAGTTTCCACTGCCCTAATCTTTTAACATAATTACAGTACTTGATTAACAAAACTTATTCATCCAGATAATTGAAATTATGACGAAAATTGCAATTTCTTTATGTGTAACAGATAATATTAAATGTTTTTAAACACTTACATAACCAATGAATATCGATGTTTACAAGTTCGAGATACATTTTTAACCGACTTCAAAAAGCAGGAGGTTTTCAATTCGTCCTTATGTTTTTTTTGATAACTCCGCCCCTAGTTGTCCGATTTTCATCTTTCTTATTCGAAAGGTATTACGTGTCATTTTTAGTTTGTTAATCATCAGCTCACTATACGTTCCCACCTAGGGGCTCCTAGCCTACCCTATAAGAACGTCGGATAAATGTACATATGTAAATGGAAAAACACATTAGAGTACAAGAGAAGTCCTGAGCCACCGTCACCAGTTTGTTAACAACTCATTAAAATCATATACAATTTTCTTTTAATATTTAACAAATCTAGTTATCTTCCGTACTAAATTGTATTCACAACTACAAATTTGGGAAGTTTAGTGAACACCGGAAGACATTTTAAAACATGAACCGCATTATGACAGTGAACTTACGTCCTTGAATGAAGGTTACTCTGCCGCAATCGATATAATTTAGACATAACTGGTTAAATAATTAACTAAACCGGTTTCTGATTTGTTCAATGCTGAAATACAAGGGAAATTTGAACTTGACTTTTGAAGGATTTCTTGATTAAAATCGATTTTATATTTCGCACATACAATTATGGATATATTATTTATTTTAAAATTAAAAGTATGGAAGAAAAAAGAAGCAAAATGGAGACATATACTCATGTTCATAATGTTAGGAACAAAATCCGACACTCTGCCGGTGTACTGGCGCAAAACTAGCCTTGTTGACGTTTATGTCCCCTCACTAATCATTCTGACACTAGACTTTGTAACGAAAGCGCGCCATTCGCGCCAAAGGATTTTAACTTATAATGTCTAAAAATGAGAATTTGCAAATTTTTAATTGTTACTACCAAAACCACTCGACAAGAATTCATAACAGAGTTACATTCTTGTTTCCAGCTACTCTTTTACTTGTAACGAATTACAATGATGAACTGTGAACGATGAATGACGTAACATTTCCAGGTGCTGATATTCCCGGAAGGCACTTGCACGAACCGGTCCTGCCTGATCACATTCAAGCCGGGCGGCTTTTACCCCGGTGTACCCGTGCAGCCTGTCACTATCCGCTACCCCAATGCCCGGGACACCGTCACTTGGACCTGGGAAGGTCCCGGAGCGTAAATATTACCAATATTAGTAATAGTAAATTACTAAATTTAAATAAAAAGTAAAAACACAATTTTTTATAACAACCGTGTTTAAAAATATTGCGATTTACGTCCACAAAAAATTTAAGATGACGAGGAAAGAGGTTTAACCCAAAATTTCATCAGAGGAATTCATGAAAGTGTTAACATGCTTTCAGATTGAAATTGCTATGGCTGACATTGACTCAAGTGCATAGCTCTTGTGAAATAGAGTTCCTACCTGTCTACTATCCCAATGAGGCGGAGAAGAAAGACCCCAAGTTATACGCTAGGAACGTTCGAGATGTTATGGCGAGGTATGCTCCTTCTCTTGTATCTCTTCGGTCTATTGGAATCTTAGTATAGAAGACTTAGAAAAGAACAAAAGACCTGATGTCTTTAACATTAGAATCTTACTAATATAAATACGAATGTTTAGATGGATGGATGTTTGTTTGAAGGTATCTCCGGAACATCTGCATGGATATCGCTGAATTTTGACATACATATAGAACATAGTCTGGAAGAACACTTAGTCTACTAATATTTTTTTTTTTAATTCCTCACGGACAGGGTCGCGGGTCACAGTAAGCATCAAAATAAACGTGATAAATTCGTAAAAATACTTGAATTACTAAACAATAGACTTTATCCTCAGTCTTCTTCTGTATTTTGTTGGTCTTCTGACTTTATTTTGTGTTGTGATCAGAGCTTTAGGTGTGCCAGTACTGGATTACACTTACGATGACTGTCGGCTGATCGCACGCGCGAAGCAGCTGCATATACCAGGTGGGGCTGCTGCTAGGGAAGTTGCCGAGGCTAGGCAGCAGTTGGGGTGAGTGAAAAACCATCAAAGTTATTTTACAGAAGGAGCAATGCAGACACCACTTTAGGGGATGTTTAATGAGAAAGGAAGATCGAGGAAATATGTCTTCTTATTATGTTGGTTCAAGTGTTTTCTTGAAAGTGTGCTGTGTTTTTTTGGTAATAACTTTATAAAGTTTAAGCATCAATAGTTCAATAGTTAAGGGTACGGATTTCCGATCATGTCGTCGGCGGTTCAAATCCCGCAATTTGATTTGTCGTAAACCATGTCCTAGTACAAGCATAGAGCTTAGTTAGAATGGTACAAGAAATATTAATTAATTAACAATCTGTTAAAAAAAAGTAGCAGAGTGTTACGACCAATTGGTTTTACGTAAGTGTGATTATTCGTAATTCTATGTTTCTTGTTATTACTATAGCTTAGGCGATTTAATAGATTTTGAAGAGCAAAGTATTATTCGAAGTTTTGTGTCAGGTTGGACCGCAGCGGGCTGGATGCTGGGTGGTGCGGTGCGGGGGCGCGCTGGGTGACGCGCGAGCAGTTTGGGGAGCGGCTCGGCGTGCCCGACCACCCCGCCTTGCATAAGCTCTTTGATATATTTGTACAGGTACATTGACTATTTCATTCATAATACAATAATAAATCTACAAACGCAAAGTTCTTATACTTCTCTATATAATTTTGTAGAATTGAAATAAGTATATTACTTCTTACTTATCTTACTTATATTATAAATGAGAATGTTCGGATGTATAGATGGATGGATGTTTCTTAGAAGGTATCTTTTTTTTTTAAATCATATGGTGGCAAACGAGCGAGCGGCCACCTGAAATCGCTGAAATAGCGAAGTGACCGTTGCCCATAGACATCGCAATTGCATATGCGTTGCCTACCTTTAATCGACGGAGAGGAGGATGCACAGAAAGAAAATATTTTCCCTTTCCATGCATCCTCTCATCCGGAAAGTCCACTTCCACTTCCCATCCTTTCCTTATAAGAAGAGGGTAGGAAGAGAAAGAGGACTAAATTAGGCCCCCGGGACGCACACTCATCAGACTGTTGACTTGACGCCTGTCTTCTGTGTGGTCGTGGTATATCACCGGGCGAGCCGGGACAATTCCTGCGAACATGTTAAAGCTCGCTCTACCACTGTTAGAAGGTACCTCCAGAACGGCTGCTAGGATCTGGATTTAATTTAGTATATATGTAGAAGACAATCTGATAGAACATTTAGGTTACTTGACAAGCTTTTTTTTTTAAATCTCAGATTAATTCGCCGGCAAAACACTAATTTATAAGGCTGTATTGTACGGTTAAATAGTTTGTAATAATATAATGAAACTTTGCAGAGGTCAAGCGGGCTGGTGTACTTCCCAGACTACTTGTTGTGCACGTGTTTCCTCGTCACACAGCACGCGCCTCTCACAGAACTTATCTCCTACGCCTTTAAGGTACTACTCAGTTTACTGCCCTTTATGTCTGACTTTTTTCTAATATTATAAATGCGAATGCTTAAATGGATGTTTGCTAGAAGGTATCTCCAGAAATACTATGGATCTCGCTGAAATTTGGTATAGATGTAGACCATGGTCCAGCTGAATTGCTACTAATTGGGTATTTTCATCCTGCGCGGACGGAGTCGCGGGCGACCGCTAGTATGTTCATAAAGCTATCTTCTCTATCTTTCGTAATTGACGACGATACTTTGACATTTCATAATTGTTTATATGGAAAGTTTTGCTTTGCTTATCATATTAATTTAGGGTTTTGTCTCGCAACGTTATAAAATAAGTCAGTAATTACTTACTGGAGTGTATTATTTACTTTTAAAATGATATATTTAATGTAAAATGTTACAGTTATACGACAGTTCGGGCAGCGGTCGCGTGCAGATGACAGACTTCGAGGAAATAGCCACTAAATGTGTTGGTCTCAGTGTTGAAGACGCACACAATGTCTTCCAGCAAGCTGATGCCGAGGAGAAGGGATATCTGACGTATGGTAAGTTTTCACATATGCTAAATTTTATAAATCACTAATTTTATTTATAATTTTAATCTTTCGTGGTTTTTATTATAGTAAAATTCGTAGGAGATAGGATTCTTGCCACGATTGAGCTGTTGTCAACCCGTAATCATGACGTAGGCAAATGTTCCCAAATATCGAGACCTGAAACAGCTCAAACGTGGTAAGAATCCTGTTTCTTACGAAATTTATCATTAATTTTATAATATTACATAATAATTTACATATTCCAGACGAGTTCATATCTTTCGCTCAGAAGCGATCAGATTTCGCTTTCATCTTCGTGAGTGACACTTCGCACAAGCCAAAGTCGCAGTGAGCCGCGACCCACATACCTACCGTCTGCAGCCAACTGCCCTGAACTTTATATAAAGTGTGCAAGCATGGCACAAGTGTGCTGTAAGTGTGCAAGTATGGCACAAGTGTACCGTAAAATTGCAAATATGGTACAAGTGTACCGTAAAATTGCAAATATGGCACAAGTGTACCGTAAAAGTGCAAATATGGTTCAAGTGTACCGTAAAAGTGCATGCTACAAGTGTCGTATGTGTAAAGATGTGCGCCAACCGTGTCGTAAATGTGCAACTAATTGCACCAAAATGGCCAAATGTATGACCAATTTGGAATAAATGGATAAAGTAAAGGAATTGTATTAAAATGATGATATTTAATAGTATTATATAAACTTTGTTTGTTTTCATTATTTTTTTAACTAGTTTTATGTTAACTGTGAGATTTATATTATATTTAACTATCGTCCTTTCAGTTTGATTATAAATGTTTATTTTAGGAATTTAACATTATTTTGTACTTCAAAAAGATTTACGTATTTATTACACATAATAACGAGGCTATATATTATTTAAGTTTAACTTTATAATGTAACTGTATGAAAATGAAACTGGTAAAATAAATGCTATCTTTGTCTACCCGATATGTGTAAAAGAGATAGTCTGTATTTGTAGGTAATTTTAGATGTGGATTGTTACATACATTTTACAATGAAATTATAAAAAAAACTTTGAGAAATAAACTTTCGCGTAATACACTTAAAATTTAATTGCAAGTAATTGCACTTTGTAAAAAGTAGTAAACAGTAGAAAGAAATATGGCGTCCTGCAGACAAAAGGGTATGTGAATTAATTAAATAAAAAAATAGCTATTTAGATAAACGATTTTAGTCCTATATATAATACAAATAAGATTCAAAATTTAACAAAATATGCGCTCGCATTATATTAATAATGTAGGTACTCAAAAATGCGAATATATAATGAATATATCAAATATACTCTAAGATTGAGGCTATTATGAAATTTGAAATTTCTTATAAGAATTATCTGTTAGACAATTTTATTTTAAACCAATTGTCATTACATTTAACTAAATATTTAAAATGATATTATTAATATAACTATTAGTTCAAAATAATGAGTTTTAAAATCTTTTTTGCAAACTATACATCTACGTAATAAAATAGAATAAATTGTGATAAAATTATGTATCACGTAATCCTCAAATTTAACAGTAACCCTTGTAAACTGACGTGCTTTTTAGGGTACCGTACAACGAAAGGAAAAACTGAATCCTAACAGAATCACTAATATTAATTATTTCAACTCGTGTACAAATCAAATGATATTTTTCCTTCAGTATTTTTTTAATAAATGTAAATAAAATTAATACTTAAAGTTAATATTTCATACCATTTCTATGTATATATAAGTAGGTTTAGCTTAAAAAGATCCATTCTAATACTATTATAAATGTATTTTAAGTTATATTGTAGTATTTAGTACTACGCCATTTAATATGTTAAGTAATCGTTTACATTTACCAATAAAAAACATAAGAAAATAATTTGACAAACTTTCATATATACAATATACATTGATCTTTTTTTAGAAATTAAATAATAAAAACAAAATAAAATCGTCTTAAAAATTGAGATTAAACTTGATAAATATTAATCAATTCAACAATTCATTTAAATTATAATATTAGGTTATAAAATTATAGTCATAATGATGTATACACTTTCACACTTAAGTGTAGACTGTCACATTAAAGTGTAAACTGTAAACTTTCACATTGAAGTGTAAACTTTCACATTGGAGTGTAAACTTTGGAGACGGTCAGATATTTTTGAATTGAGAATTTTGTTAGTCGAGACTTACAGTTTAACATTGTTTACTGCTAATAGAACATTTATATAAAAAAATTAAATAATTGATTTATTACAATCATCATTAATGGAGTATATAATAAATATTGAATTTATAATAAATATTGAATCACTTATGTACTTGTAAAGTACATTTATGTATATAAATTAAGTTTTTAGTTCAAAATGTTAAACGCTTTTAACTCAATTACATAGAATGTAGTTAATATTTGTATAAGTTTAAAAATAACTACATCATTATACTTATTTGATTTAAACTTAAACTTTTAAAACCAAATTAGGTTGAAATTATTTTTTAATAATTATTTTAAGGTTTAGAAATATTTATTTATGTAGTCATTGTATAATTTTATGTATTAGTAAAATCTAGCCTTAAACCATTCCTTTGCTAATGTAATTTAAAATTAAACGTAATTATTTATTCAAATATAAAGTAGAACAATTTAATTGACTTTTAGTTTACTCATCTATAACAAAATAAAAAAAAAAAAAGAAAAAAATTAACCTTTTTTTAAAGCTTCAACATTAAATAAATTTGCCAATAACAGTGATTATTCGTTTAATAGTCATATCTTACTATTGTTATAAATGCGAATGTTTAGATGGATGGATGTGTGTTAGAAGGTATCTGCAGAACGACTCAATGGATCTAGCTGAAGTTAGGCATAGATCTAGAACACAGTCTGGAAGAAGGCTACTTCATAACTTATTTTTAATTTTGCGTCGCGGACGACAGCTAGTTATTAAAAATAGTAAAAAGTTATGTACTAGTGTAACGAAACATAAACGTCAATACTTTTTGACATGTATACTCTTTGACCTTCACTTGACAGAAGATATGACCTAAAGGTCTATATTACCAGGTCATAAAATTAAAAAAAAAATCACTTGACAGATTGACTAAACGATCAAGTTGTCTCTGTAGTGGCGCCACTGTCAATACTATCATAATGCACCTGTCACAACATAGATGGCGTTTAACCTAAAATTATAAATTTTGCCCAGTTTTTGGTTTCTTTGTAATTGTTGATTTGATTATTTCCAGTGCTCTATAGAACAATCTAGTTTGACACCACTATACCTATACCTCTAGGTCTTATGATAATATTCTGTAACTTTATGCGTTCTAAAATAAAGTGTCAAATTGTGCAGATAGAGTACAAAATAGATTCTTAATCCATGTTACTATGTCAAGGGCGAAAGTTTTATAAATATTTTATTTACTTTTAATACGTTTGAGAAGTAGATTTGTAAATTGGTGAGTTTAAGTTTTCGACGTTTTGTACAAAAAAAGACCCTCTTTTCAGGTTAACTTCTAGACTGTAGCGCGTCTTTTTTAATCAAAGATGTTGGATTTGAAGTGAGACAATTATGCCAGGACTATGCTAAATATAAATCTATTTTATTTATATTCTGATTCCTCCCTGATCAGAGAAGTATAATGTTAAAATTTATATAAAACTAGCGTTTGCCTGCGACTTCGCAAACGCGGAATAAAAAAAAGACTATGTTCTAAATTTCAAGTAAATTCGTTGTGCCGTTCTGGAGATACCTTCTTACAAACCATCCATCCATTTATCCATACATCCATACATTCGCATTTATCATATTATACTTAAAAGTTAGAAGTATGATAGGTAAAAAGCTGGTTATAGAACATATAAGTGTATTGATTTGTAGAGGAAATGCGGTCGCACGTCTGCTCTTTGCCTTTTATATTGCTCTGTGCAGGGCTGGCAGATAAGTGACCTGGATTCCTCGTGAATACAGGATAGACCCTACTAAGGGATAACATACTTAGGAATGTTCAACAACCAAGTAAATAACTATTAAATAAAATTATGGTTGAAAAATTAGATGACAATGAGACTAAAGGCAGCCCTAATTACTGTACTCTATAGACGGAGTGTAGTTTTTAATAATTATATCTACGCAAAGGAAATTAAATATAATCTTTTTAAAATCAATATGATAACCCAAAAACGATTTGAATATTATCAAATGCCGTGTCCGAAAATTTAACAATTTAAAATTTAATAATATTTCAGTCATTAAAAGAAATCTACACTAAGGGACTTTATAAAAAATAAACGACTGATTGGAGTTAACATAAAAGGAAAAATGAGTGTTAAATATCTTAAATATGCATGTTTTAATTTTCCTCTAGATTCGAACCCGAATATTTCTCCTGTTATGGTCGATAGAAGGTAATCGCTAAATAATTCGTCACTACCTAAGGCTCACTCGCCTTATGGGATCTCATATTTTATTTGAACAGAAAGAAAAGTTGGTCAAACGCAGGCCCGTGCCCGTCAATATGCCCCGTCTCCACTTTCAAAACATTCTCTACATTTTCCATCCCTTTCGAACGCAACCCCAAACGTATCAAAGAGTAATGTTTGATTTCGTAGAGTAATATTTTAGTTTTATACCTAACAGGCACATATTTAGCAAGTTCCTGATCGTGTACAAAAGCAATTAGAGTAATATGAAGATATTGGCGTTTTAATTAGCGTGGCGTAATTTATTTTATGTCTGTAATTAATTGGAAAATATTGTAACAGCAAAACTAACTCGAAGTACTACAAAATAATATTAGACACTCTTTGAAATAGTCTAGACTTTAAGACATCTCTTACAGAAACAGTATTTTGCTGATGATTTAAATTAAATAACTTTTTCGATGTACTTAAAAGCAGCTCTGCGTTAATAATCTTTGTCTTATAGTAACGGAGTATAGGGGTTTCCTACCCCTCGGCGGCAGCAGCGGCAGTCGGCAGTGTACCGGAGTTGCTGGCCGGACCCGTCGCGCCCCGCAACTCCACACAACAACAAACACGACATAATGTAGTGACGAAAACTAGATTAATATGCGACAAGTATTGAACTATAGAAATACTAATCTAATCTAGCCTAATCTAATCTCATCTAATATACAACAGTGTATATGTTGTATTGATATTTCAGTGGTGTGGCCAGTGTTAACCCGTCAGGCGCGTTTTCACCTGAAACTGTAATAAAAGGTAAGCTTAAAGCCTCCCAAATGCAATTTATGAACCGATTTACTAATTATTAAATTAATTTTAATCTACTTAAATTAATAAATTGGTTCACTAACACTAATAAAGTTTAAATTGGATTGTACCTCCTGAATTATTAAGTTAATTAATTTTTAAAGAGAAAATCTATTTTATGTTGGCTTATATTTTTTATTTCTGATGTTTTTTTTTATTTAAAAGCAAGTCTTTGAACAGGTTTAAAAAAATATCTTGATTTATCAAATTAATTTTAATTTACAATAATATATTGACATTTTTAATAATTGGTTTCTTTTAAAGTTTTTACTGTAGCCTATATAAGACATAAAACTGTAGCAGACAAACAACAAACCTTTGACCTTTCTACGAATTGCTGGAGAGGTTCGAAACCGCCGCGGCTGATGTCGACCGACTTTTATAACCACTTTAACTTTTTTAT